TATCTACGTTTTAGACACGATGTAGCCAAAGTGAATGCACCTCTCACGATATAATCTCAGACGGTTTGGAAGCTATAGATCAAATCTAATCAAGCATTTCGAGACATTTGGAAACAATGGATTAAACTAGGCAACAGACTTGGGTGATAGACTCAGGTTATCAATGCTCAATCGTAAAATAAATGAGCCGTGAAAAAGTTTAATTATATCACAATGAGAAATAGCAGTAATAAAAGGGCACCAGACTTCGGTTATAGACTTAAGTCATCAATTTTGCAATACCTCAATCGTAAAATAAATGAGCCGTGAAGGTCAATTCTATCACAATGTAGAGTCGCCATAGAATAAATATTTGCCGTATGATAAACTGAGCAAAGCGACAGTAAGTCTAGGTCAATCGTTTTGTTGAATGACCCAAAATTCAGTCAGAATCGTGAATTATAACTCACACTGCGAATAGTGAGTCGACGAAAATTTGTCGCGATTAATTTTAAACTAAATAACAGATCGATCTCACAATTCAAACGGCTATATGTTTACTGGAGACAAAGTAAGATATTCACAAACAGGTCACGAACAGGCTACAGCTGCAGATGTCAATGCCAAAAACATAAAAAGAGGTAAACTGATACAGTTGTGATAATCTAGGCTTTAAGGGACTATGTGTCGTGGAGGGGAAGGAACAAAAGCCGGAGAGGCTGAGTGAGGATACAACAGTGAGCCATTGTCCCAGGGACACAGGACCTTAGTCTTCCCCGGGCTTGTCCTAGACATTGTCCACCTCTCTCTCGTCGGAGCCACGTGACCGCTATAAACCAATGGTAGTACGGGAGCCAGGCCCTCAACCAACTGCAGGTCGCAACGGGCTACCTTTTTTAACGGCAGACTTGCGAGATTTGTCAGACGTAGTGCATTGTCATGGGGGCAAGCTCGCAGATGAAATGGCAGGAAAATAACCAACCTGAATTTCGACTATTCTAGATAAATTAAACGACTGCAGTGCTGCAAAATGCTTTCCACTTGATGCACTCTTTGCATCTCACCCTCGTTATAGCATAATTTTGTCACCCTTACTCTACCTCTTAATTGATGGCAATAAAATTAAAGGAGCATTACCGGGCCTAAGGACAAATTGAAAAGTGGAGGATTTACATTCTGACCTCATTATATTCTGTAGCGCAGGGCAAAATACCCCATACAACTCTTTAATTGCGCTAAACTGTTAATCGAATGAAAATCTTATACCATCCCGTAAACAAAGTAGGATCATGGAGATCCATAAATAGAGTCCAGGGGTAAGGACATGAAATAAGAAAAAGAGCTGACAAAAAACCTGATAGCAATATAAAATATTCCAACTCACCAGCTGAGAAATGTTAATAATGAAAGTTGGTGTGAAGCGGGAGTAGTGGAGTACGTATATATCTCGGAGCCCGGTATTTCTCGGGGGAGCTAGTACACCTTACTGCCTTATCAAAACAAGCGGATCACTATAATTACTCTCTGAGCTCTTTACCTACATAAACAAATCTATTCCGATCTGACGGGAACTACCGACCTACTTCAGTATTTCAGGTGCCAGTGGGTAGACTTTTAATTGTGAAATATATACAAAATATCGTCAACTAGAAATCCTTCCGGGAACCAGGAAGCTAAAAATAAGTTTCCGGGTGCCAAATTCAGCTACTTGTAGCAGTGTGGACCAAACATGAACTGTAAACAGGGGTCAACGGCAATAAGACGAAGGTAATCTTACCTGCATATCATTTACTGTAAAGCTCTTCAATAATACTAGGATCAAAATAATCCAAATTGAAGTAAATATTTCACAGTTTTAAAGCTGCAAACAAGGCGCCGGGCTTTTTTTTCTTCTTAAAGCAGACATAGCCAGGGTGACGGATCACCACACTGTAGACTAAGTGTAGACACGGTTCTTTTTAAAGTTTAAATTCTCACATCTAAAGTCAGGGGGCCCTGGGGAGTGAAGGATCCCGGAAACCACAGAGCCCTGCTGCCCTACGAAGACATGTGCTATTTTGGAAGGTATGTGAAAAAATGTTCCTCTCCGCGAATATTTAACGTTGATAAATAATGATGCATGCAACATTGAAAAGGGCAATAGTGTCTGGCCGCTTGTTTACAGTGCAGTGACGGTGAAAACAAAATTTTAGACGGGATATTTTAAGTTTAAGGGCTCGTGGTATTAAGAAGCAGTCATGCTTCTCTAAATCTTAGACTATGATCGGTCCCACGTTTGTCGATTCGGTTGATTGGTTTAACGTCGGAATATTTGGACACGAAGAGACCCAAAATGTTCAGTTTCCATGGAGTGTGCCCTGATTTGCGAGACAGGCTCCCTAATACCATCCTCCGCATAGCAAGCCTATGACGCAAGTTCGTGACGCATTTTGTGACGTCACAGCGTCAGGTGCTGTAAACCGTTGAATTGCACGTGGGGAGAATGATAGTATCCGGTCTTCTACCTGGATACAAACTGAACATGAGCGGAAGATAATTTTGCAATCCAGTCACTGGTTCTAACGTGATATCCTATCCAGGAAATCCCACCATCTCTTGACCAATAGAATCGCTGGATTTCTTGCTGCGACCAATTACAGAACGGCAGAGTGGTCACGAGACACGGACAGGAGACGGACTAAGGAGCTCGGTGTGCCCTGAGCTGGCTGAAATCAAATACCGCACAACATGTCCTCCTTGAACGAGGACACTGCTCCACCACCTTACCCCTTCTCAATAAATCCAAATCAACTGTTTCAGGCCAGTTTCAGGGCATATACTGTTTCTTGTCGATATAACCGCTTCCTATAAGTATAATAATGTGCAGCCGGCTAACAATGCTCCTTTCACTGCGACTTTGCAGGATTGTTAGATGTGAAAATCAGGGGATCTGTAAACAAAGCTGCACCGATCTATAGCCCAAATTAATGGAGTTATAGCTATGCCATGAAAATGTGGATCATAGCTAAGTTCAGGAACTTTTTACAGATTGCATTGTGTTTACTGGCTGATAAACTCGTATAGGCAGGCTAGTGACAATTTGTTTATGAACAAGAGAAGACAAAGGATAGACCTTGTAAATTAGGATTAACACATGAGTAACAATCAGAAAAGTCCCTGAGTAACAATTTGAGTCTGTTCAGCGTGGCCAATGAGGAGTAACTTCGGTGAAAGGAACCAATGAGAATTAAGAAGTCTAGAGAGTGGGACCCGTACACGAGATAAACGTTTTTTGCGAAAGTGAGATCGACGTTTTTCACACCCGGTTCGGGGAATTTCAAGACAAATGTTGAAAATATTGGAAATGAAAAATTAGTAACCTGGCGAGCAGGGAAACAGAATGCCCTACACTGATCACCATGGGAAAAATGTCTACTTAGTTTAGAGCGGCGAATTGGGTATAAGGAAAAAGAGTACCGAAAAGAATTTTCAGTTCAAGTTCAAAGTCACCTATCACTCGATTTTTAAGCGAAACTCATAAAAATTCCAACACGAAGTTATGGCAGCTTGGTTTAACGATGACACAAAGAGATTCTGTTAAGTCAACAAATTAAAAACGGAAAGGCTGAAGAGAAAAATGTGATAGATACCTGCTAGATGACCGAGACACGAACAGTCAATACACGATGGTCCGTATCAGGAAATGGTGAATATGTAGGGAATTCTTGAGATTCCTTGGTGGCCCCAGCTGCCCTATCGCCTGACAGCAATGAGCTAACAGACAGCAGCTTGGCTCCGACAGTTCTACTTTGAGACAAGGGACGTGACGTCATCACATTGGTATTCATGACGTAGGAGCTTAACGATTACAACTGTCGCAAATAGGCTGGATCACCCATGTGCACGTGATTATTACAATAGCAATATTATCTTTGTAGGGAAATGGTTGAATCAAAGAAGAGTAGATTCAAAGGACAGGTAAAGAGTTAACATTTTGAGTTCACTTAACTTCCATTTACACGGCCAACTAATCGCAACTGTAAGCAAATCAGTATAATCCTGAAGGTAGCTTATACAATTTTCCGCAAAATTTGCACGAGTTTACCTCTGCTGTGCCATCAATTTGCAAAAATTGAGCGTAGATACTAGGTGGATTAGAATTAAAGCAATATGGAAATGTTTCTTGGAGGGGACTCACATGGTTCGTGCTCGTTAGCTCTGTCATACCCAAAATCACAAATTTCAAGATTTCATTAAACCTGACCCACTCTGTACAAAATATTAGTTCTTCAGAAATCAGAATTAAGGCCTAACCCAGAATCATTCTTCGTCAGGGCCATAAACCCATACAATATAAGAATTGCTATTGTGTGTGTATAGAACCATGCTTCCTCTAGAGAACTTATTGATATTTCATTCCTTTTTCCTAATTCTAGTGATATATATTGAAAGATGAAAACCCTAAGCACCCTAAACGGGTTGAAGACGATTTACACATGTATTTTAAAAGCTCCTGCTAAAACAAACCTTTCGTATCACTTACATGTTTTAAAACAAAGCCCCCTCCACGAGTGCTTCAGAGCTATATAAACTATGGACCAAAATAAAATACGTTTATACTTTAACTGAACCTGCAAGGCAGTCAGGATTCAATAAACATATCAACATAAGTTGAATGTTTAAGGTGTTTTATTATACCAGTAATTAATGACTAGACAGGGTTATTGTAATGAAAAACAGTCGAGAATAGTGTCTAGACTTGGGACCAGATCGTAACACATGATACGCGAAAATTACTATGCAGCACGTGCTAACGAAATGTGAATTTGAAGAAGAAATTATTGTTCTTCTTAAAATTCACATATCGTTAACGTGTTCTGAATCTGAACAACATCACAAACCGTTGCGAGAGATTATGATTGGAGTAGGTATTGGTTTTAGTGTTCACCAACTACATTGTGATGGAAGCAGCAGTGTGAGTTAAATTTTTCTGGAATGTGTATTTTTTGGGGTTAAGTTTAAACCTAAAAAATGCTGCAAACCTTTGACAGTTTCGTAGTCCGTATGTAACTCTTCTTCAGCTGGAGATTCATAAACAAATGAAACGGACAATCTACGAGGAAATGTTGCACATTATTCATCAACAGGTGCGTTTCCCGATGAGAAGATATCCACAGGGTTTAGATAACACCAGAAACTGAGATTCCAGTAGATGAGTAGATGAGTAGATGAGGATCACCCATCCTCCAGATCTACAATCAACAAAATGTCCTGATATCAACGTGGCAAATGACATCTGAGAAGATATTCTGACAATTCACCAAAGCTGTGATGTCTGCAAACACGCTCCCACTGCGAACTGTCTTGATTCTGGTCGCCACAAAGAGCTATCCGGATCAGCTTGAGAGATGACAATACAAGACAATAAAAGGGGGAAACAATGTAAACCTAAATCCTAAGATATGACTAACACAGCGCCTCAGCTACGACATTGGATTAGATTATTTATAAGTATTAGTTGAATTATTGAATCTTTAAATAAAATTATTGGGCTTCCCTTTAAAGGCCGTGTGCTCTTTATAGTTTAAATGATTTAGTGATTACATTTTGATGCAGAGTAACTTGATTTTCAATCTCGGTAAATGGCTAACCCTAAAAGGATTATTCGTTTTTAATCCGATAAGATAGCATAATCGGTGTTTCCTAATAAAGTTGCTAGACCACCTAATGTCATAATACATTTTGAAACTGGTTAAAGATGTCCTATCACCGAAAGTGAGGGGGACCTGTAACTACAGTATAACAGTGAACAGTGTAAGCAGTAATAATTCCAGTCAGTGTAATGCAATCATAATCATATCCTGGGAGATTTTATCGAATGATAGATTTAGTAAAACAGGCTCAGGATGCTATAAACACACACAAACCCCGTGTGTTGATTAATACAGGTAAACGAATTTAGGGTTTCTGGAAATCACATTATAATATAAAAATATGCTAACCCGATTCTGTAACGGATGCACCGACTGGGGAGGGCGGGAACGTTTTGTAGAAGTCCATGGCGGTGGTGGGACGGACGGACACGAAGGGGGAGCGAGGGGAGGACCCTGCCTCGGATGAGCTGGAAGTTTGAAAATAGTGAGGGAAAGCCATGATGGGGGGCACACAAATGTCAGACGCTCAACGAGTATAGGCGGGTGAGCGGTGAGGCGTGAGGGAGCGGGAGAGAGAGAGAGAGAGAGAGCGAGAGAGAGCTGGGCAAACACGGGGGGAATCTGAGATCCCTATTTAGCTGCAATAATTGTAGAGCTACGTGGGAGCTGGTGATCTGCCCGCTACCATGTGTCGTGTCCTACTGGGGTCAGATCGCACCCTCACATGTCAAACCAACCGCTACATCCAGTATAACCTGACCACTTTTTAGACATTTTTAACTTCACGGTCCGTCTATCTAACTGGCCATTATTCTAAAATATAATTTTCAGGGATTACCCGATTAAAAATGTGTGGGGGTTGTGCCGATGTGCCGATGGGCTAAATAGTATGAATCAGGGTAATGTAATCAGAGAGTAGTTACTGTAAGGGGTAGGGTTGCAGAGACCTGGTCTACACTATACTCCAACTTAAAATATTACCCTTTTAACGAACTCTTAGCAACGGAACCTCCACTGAAACGTTAGACTATTTATTTACTGAGCTCCAGTCGGATTGGAAAATAAGACCTGGAGCTGTTGGAGTTACTTCTGGTCTGTGCTTCCAGGTTAAGGAATTAGAGCCCCATATTCTCGTGAGATCATTGACCAAACTGTTCTGGTATTTCGGAATAAACCTTACTCCAGGCTCATGGTACCTTGGGATTTTGCCAGATTAGGTGGACAAAATCTGGTCACTTTAAGGCCCCTAAAGGGTGTATTATTGTCCAGTTTATACAGAAACAAAGAATGTTTTTCTAAAAATAGCGAGATGCTAATAGCTGGTGATCTTTTATTATATTCCACTTACCATCGAGTCAAGAAATCGCCGGATGAAGATAAGGTGAAACTTTGATATTGATCGTTACGCTTTAATGCCTCCATATTTGACATTTGTAGTAATACTTACTATTTCTCCCTGGTACGGGGAAACTTATATTATTAACCATGGATATTCTGATTCAAAACTTCAAAAGGATTACAGAGGGTATTGTTACTTTGGTGAAATTAAATTGCATTATGGTTATTCGGCTTTCATCATTCATGATATAAAAATTGGAATTCCAGGAATCACAATTCATTAAAAGAGCTTGTTCATCAATAATTCACCACGACGTACCACATCCAGAAAGACGGCAGATCGGCAGATAATCTGCGAGGAAATTTCAGATCTTGGAGAAAATTTAGTGCCGGAGCAGAAATTTTTAGAAGACCTAACTTCTTTTTTTAAGAGTATAAGAAAATTTTTAGGGGGAAACATTTTATTGATCTGCGAAGAAATTTTAAACTTTCTGGATGTGGGGCGACGTATGATAAGTAAGACCCGTGTAATTGTTAGTATAAAGTTATGTTAGTATGTACAATGTAACATATCATCGTAAATTATATAATCATAGTAAATTATAACTTAAAGTTTAATCGGTCAAAACTTTTTATCTTATATTTTAAATCTCAGAAAAATATCTCATGAAAGGGGTCAACTGATTGCTGAGAAAAAGCTACTGAAAGAGAGGGTCATCAGTGCAGGAAATAAAATTGACGATTTGGACAGTTAAAATATGGAAACAGTTCAAATCAATTCAAAGCAGCTCATCTACCACCATTTTTCATATTCACATTTTACCTCGACATTTTTCGACAGATAATCAATCATGGGAGGGGGACCACAAAGAAAACATCTGATACCATCTGCACCAAAAACATTTTTCCAATCATCCACTAACTTATTAATAGTCTCGGGAGTTATCCGTCCACTTTGAAACTTCACAAAATTGTTCGAACCCAGCTGTTTCACTGTCTCTCTGGTCAGAAAATACTCAACAGTAAAGTTCTCGTGATTCACGGACATCTCCTCCAAATCATACCAAAAGATGAGTTCCTCGAGAGTGCCGGCGGAGTAGAGCAGGTGGTACTTGGTGCTAGAATCAACTCCAGCTTTAATGATGGACAGGAGAGGGTTGATCCCTATCCCTCCACCCACCAACAGGACAGCTTTAGTACCAGAGCTCGGTTCCAAGTGAACATCTCCACCCACTCTGACCTGGACATCATCTCCAGCCTTGCAAGACTTGTGTACCCAGTGAGCGGGCGGGTGGGTGGAGTACTTGATAGCTAGTTCCAGCAGCGGAGACCTGGGGTCCGAACACATAGAGTACCCTCCGATCATGTCAGTACCGGGTATAAAGAAGTCTACCCACTGTCCCGGTTTAAAGGTAAGCTGCTGCTTAGGGACCGGAGCAAGTTTGAGGAGTTTGACGGTGGGTGAGATATCGGTGATAGAGCTGACGGTACAGTCACGGAGACCAGGATCTCTGCTACTACCGTTAGTGCGCTCCAAGTGAGTTGTGGTGGTCGACATGATCCGAGACAAATTAGCTGAAGTGAGAAGTGGGGTAACTCGAAGGGAACGTAGAGCTAGGATAGTCGTCATGCCATTAGACAAAGTCTTTAGTGTCAACTTTTGACAGGTTACCTGTCATTAAGGTAATATTTATTTTAACGGGAGACTTTCCCATTTTATTTTTAATGATAAAAACAGTTAAAAGTAGAGCCAAAGACATTGCTAAATTGAAACTGGCCAACGGTGAGATATTTTTATACAGTTTGTATTCATACCAAAAGGAGATATTGATACGTTGTATTCTCACGAAACAATGAAACATCGCACATGAGAAAACAATTTAGAAATTTAACAAACAATTATAATATATAGTTCAGGTAGAAACAAAAAGGCACTGAATTGTTTAATTTGCATTCCCACTCGAATCTGTAGTTATCAACAAATTATCAAGAATTATACAGTTTAATAGCAAGATGTTCCTTTCCCAAAAACAATTGCAATTGAATACTTGTAATCGTTGGCAGAATAATATTAATAAATTAAAATCTATAAAACGATAGATGAACGACATTGGAGATAATTAAAAAGGCGTATAAAATATAAAATTATAAATTACTGGCCATAAAAATGCTGGTTACGTCGGGTTAAAGCTGCCAACTGTTACTGGTTAAACGTTATGAATGAAGCTTCCCGCCCCAAGATTCAGCCATAAACATCGGGTTTCAGAATCCTCAAGTTTTTAAAGCTCGTGCTTTTGAAAAGGTAATTGGATAATGAATATTCTCTGGGGCTACACAATCTTGCTGACAGAAAGCAGGAACTCCGTGCAAAACTAACTCGCTTTCTTTTCTCACCAACTGAATGCTCTTGCAATTCCCCTCTGTGCCGGGTGAAACCTTTAGAAACAGAACCGAACACGAAGGGCCTGTCTGGAGTACCGAACCCGCTCCTTACTTTACTAAACGTCGCCGTACAGCAAGGAATTTCACAGTATTCGTCGGGATACAATTATGCTTATGATCATTTTAAGTACAGCCTCGTTATTCAACTATGAATTTGTCATCATTTTTATAATGAACCATTTATCCCTCTCCAATTCCCCTCCAAAATATAATAGATTTGGCCTAAGAAAATGGATCAGGATGTTGTGAAATGATTTATTGAAAGTTCACTCGCATCAATTGATATAAATACAAAAATACAAACAACTTATTATCCCTAGAAAACAATTGCACAGGTTCATACCCCAGTTGCGCCGGAAAATAATACATTATAGTTAAGACTGAAGCTCTAAGTAAACAGTTAAACGTATCATATCATCAGCAGAATACTCGTCTTCTCCCCATAGAAAGCATCCATCATCATTTTCATGAACATAAGGTTTCGTATCCCATGATTTGAAGTGATAATAAGTTTCTTTGCAACGGGCTTTATAAGTAGATAGAATTTCAAATGTAAAATGAATTCTGTCATGTTTTACGAGATCATGATGATGACAAAACTGTTGATTTATCCCACCTTCCAACATGAATCCTTTCTCAACATCGGCAACTAATTGAATGTTAAAGGAATCGGGATTTTCGTCAGTACTTGGACAAACTTTCAGTATAAAGCCACACACCCAAGAATAATCACAACTCTCACATTTGTGACCCGCATGTAAAAACTGAAAATCATGGTAAGTCTCCGTTGTAAAAAAATCTTTAATTCGGTATGACAAGTTTGCAGATATTCGGCGGCAGCTCTTCCTTGAGGATAAAAGTTCTTCACAGTTCATGAGCTGATCTAAGGAACCGCATGTGTAGTAAGTGGTCAGATCACGAATAAATTCTGGATGAACATGAGAAAATCCACGGTGAGCTTTTAACATTACTAGATTCTCTATGATAGAGCGATTAAAATTACCTCCACAGTACCCTTCTACTTTGAAAAGTGCCTCAAACAGCATGTACATGTTTTTAAGCTCTGTCATATTACCAAGTCGATCAAGTTCTGTCTTGTACATTTCATCATTCTCTATTTTAGCTAAGTTGTCCAAATTATGTTCGGAGAAAATATCCAAAACAAGATCAGACTTTTCTCCAGGACCTTCATTTTGAGAGCTTTGTTCATCTTTTGCTGCATTACTATCAGAAGAAAGATATGCTTCCTTTGATGTTTTTCTACTCAATTGAATCACCATGTCGACATCTTTCCGTTCAAGTTTGTTCAGATTTCTAAACAGAATATCGAATATTTCTTCATAGTAAAGAATAGGGTCAGCTTGATAGCATTTAACAAAGTCGAGGTTCTCCAGCAGATATCTAGTATTTTCTTCTAGCTCTCCTATTTCCAATAGTCTTAGATTTTCCTTCAGAACCTTAGCTAGAATAGTTGTATTTTTTTCAGTAATTCGGATCAGCCAATGAAGTTTATCGAGACAAACGCTGTTGAAATCTAACAACACAGTCCCGACAAAAGCTTCAAGAACACTTTCAGGTAGATCTGAAAACTTCTCCGCGACAAATTCAAGTAGATCTTCATTTTAAGTGTTTTTCTTGACGAAATGGCTTTCGTTGAATAGCCATTCCAACGTCCAAATCAAGTCCTCAATACGATCTTCCTGTTTAAGAACTTGGATTGATCGATTGAATTCCTCGTAGAAGAAAATTGTGCACTTGGATATCAACCATTTACTCTTGAAAGCTGCAGCTATCTTATTCATCTCCCTGAAGTTGTCCTTACTGAGCTCAAGTCTACCACAATAAAGTGCACTGAAGAATTCCCGAACATTCTCAGCAGTAAAGTCGTCCATGTCAACAGAAACAAGTCCTAAATTGAAGAACATATCCTGAAATACTGGACTGTGAAGACCCAGTATCATTGAGTTGACCCTCATAGTCTCACTGTCCTTCAGATTAACAACGATATTACCATGTACAGGACAATCTAGGTTCTCTATCCCGAAATCTAGAGGCAGCAAATCTGCAGGGAGAGGAACTGTTTGCACCATCCTGTAATAATATTTATTTAGTAACACAAGTATTTGATAAGTTACTATCGTGAGCAAAACGAAACTCTGGTTTCTTCTCGAATTATAAACCGTTTTATCGATTTTTCGCTAATTTCTACTTGAAGTTGGAGAATAGTATTTGCATTACAGACTGTAATGCTTATTGAAAAAGACAAATAGTTAATTAAGAATTTGTATTCATGAATGTAAAAGCTATTCTAGGTCAAACGAGTTTGTGTCGACGGCAGAATAGCAACAGTAGATTGCGCCATGCGGCATAACTACGATGACAAATAAATGACATTTTATGTAATCTGGAAATTAATGCATTCGTCAAATTTGAGATGAATAAATAATCTAAATTACGTAAAATATTATGTAGCATAAAACTGTGAAAAAATTATGTCAGATGAGCCAGTTAGAAGCAAATGATGAATGCAAATAGAAATAAATGTATAAAATATAAAATATGATTATGAAGTGAATAATGTGGTAAAATTTTTAAAACACTCCCTGCCATTGTTATCAAAAATATTAGAAATTGGGTACCACGATTTAACACTAAATTGTCCATGGTACACACTACACAAATATAATGCCGCTGTGGAATATCATTGGTTCTTAATGTTAAATTCAAATTAACAATTCCTGGCATTACACAAAAGATCTTAAAACAATCATTGATAAAAGTTTGGAACTGCAAGAGCGCTTTTGGGGCACAAGCTGTCCCAAAATCGATCAGTTTGACTGCTCTGAATAATGAGGGATAGCCAAAATTATGATTTAATAGCACATTTTTTCTCTTTTGTTATAACGAAGCAATTAATTTAAAGTTTAACTTCGTTAATAAATTACACAGAACTTATCATTGAGGGCTTATCTAAAGTCCTTACTAACTGTCGCCGTACAGCAAGGATTTTCACAGTATTCGTCGGGATACACTTATGCTTATGAGAATTTAGTACAGTCAAGTTATTCGACTATGTATATAATACGACAGAAGTTTTATACTGAGACATTTGATACTCTCCAATTCCCTTTCAAAATGCAATAGATTTGGCCTTAGATGATTATAATGGATGATGGGAATGATTTATTCAAAGTTCAGTCGCTTCAATCAATATTAATACAGAAATACAAACATATCACCATTCCTAGAAAACAGTTTCATGGATTAATGCACCCAGTACCTCCGGAAAATAGTACATTATGACTGAAGCTCTAAGTAAACAATCAAACGTATTGTACTATCAACAAAAAAGAGATCTTTTCCCCAGAGTAAGTGTCCTTCAATGAAGTGATGACCAGGTTGCTTATCCCATGATTTGAAATTTAAAAAATTTTCTTCAAAACCGGCTTGAAAACTTTTTAGAGTTTCAAATACAATATGAATTCTTTCATGTTTAATGATATCATGATGATGACAAAACTCTATACAATCATGTATCCCACCTTCCGACAATCCTTTCTCAACGTCGTCAACTAATCGAATGCTAAAGGAATTGGGATTTTCGTCAGTACTAGGACATACTTTCAATAAAAAGCCCAACACCCCAGAATAATCACAACTCTGACATTTGTGCCCTGGCTGCGGAAACTCAAAAAGATGGTAAGTCTCCTTTGTAAAAAAATCTTTATTACGGTATGACCAGGTTCCAGATATTCGGCGACAGCTCTTACTGGAAGATACAAGTTCTTCACAGTTCATGAGCTCATCTAGGGAACCGCATATGTAGTTACAGGCCAGATCACGAATAAAATCTGGATGAACATGAGAAAACCCACGTCGAGCTTTCAACATGACCAGAGTCTCTATGATAAAGCGATTCAAATTATCTCCACAGTACCCTTCTACTTGGAAAATTATCTCAAACAGCATGTACATGTTTTTAAGCTCTGTCATATTACCAAGTCGATCAAGTTCTGTCTTGTACATTTCATCATTCTCTATTTTAGCTAAGTTGTCCAAATTATGCTCGGAGAAAATATCCAAAACAAGATCAGATTTTTCTCCAGGACCTTCTTTTGCCGCATTCCTATCAGAAGAGGAATATGCTTCCTTGGACGTTTTTCTACTCAATTGGATCACCATGTCGGCATCTTTTCGTTCAAGTTTGTTCAGATTTCTAAACAGAATATCGAAAACTTCTTCATAGTAAAGAATTGGGTCAACTTGATAGCATTTAACAAAGTCAATGTTCTCCAACAGATATCTAGTATTTTCATTTAGCCCTCCTATTTCCAAAAGTCTTAGATTTTCCTTCAGAACCTTTGCTAAAATAGTCATATTTCTGTCAATAATTCGGATCAGCCAGTGAAGTTTATCGAGACAAACGCTGTTGAAATCTAACAACACAGTCCCGACAAAGGCTTCAAGAACATTTTCAGGTAGGTGTGAAAACTTCTCCGCGACAAATTCAAGTAGGTCTTCATTTTTAGTGTTTTTCTTGACGAAAAAGCTTTCGTTAAAAAGCCATTCCAACGCCCGAACCAAGTCTCCAATACGGTCTTCCTGCTCAAAAACTTCAATTGATTGATTAAATTCCTCGTAGAAGAAAATTGTGCACTTGGATATCAACCATTTACTCTTGAAAGCAGCAGCTATCTTATTCATCTCCCTGAAGTTGTCCTTACTGAGCTCAAGTCTACCACAATAAAGTGCACTGAAGAATTCCCGAACATTCTCAGCAGTAAAGTCGTCCATGTCAACAGAAACAAGTCCTAAATTGAAGAACATATCCTGAAATACTGGACTGTGAAGACCCAGTATCATTGAGTTAACCCTCATAGTCTCACTATCCTTCAGATTAACCACGATATTACCATGTACAGGACAATCTAGGTTCTCTATCCCGAAATCTAGAGGCAGCAAATCTGCAGGCAGAGGAACTGTTTGCACCATCCTGTAATAATATTTATTTAGTCACACAAACAACTCTGGTTTCTTCTGGAATTATAAACCGTTTTGTCGATTTTTTGCTAATGTAGATGTAACTAGGTGAAACCGAGCTAATAGATGAGACCGAGCTAATAGTCGTTACCAGTACGTGGCTTTACCTGTAGTCTACAAGTAAAGCCACGCACTCGGTCACACCTTGCAACATGACAGTAACTAACATGAAACATATATGACATTTTATATAATCTGGAAATTACTAAATTCGTCAAATTTGAGTTTCACCAAGAGACGAATAAATAATTAAATGTACGCATAATATTATGTAGCATAAAACTGTGAACAAAATGAGCCAGTTAGAAGCTATTATGAATTCAAATGGAAATAAATGTATAAAACATAAGATATAAACTATAAAGTGAATAATGTGGTCAATTGTAAAAACACAGGACATAAACAAGTATACTACCTGGCATTGTCATTGAAAATAATAGAAATTGCACGACTATATAACAACACTACTATCCACAGTCCAGTGTCCATGGTACAAACATAAACCACTGTGAAACATCATAGCAAAGGTTCTTAATGTTAAATTTCTTCAGATTACAAATTCTGGTCATAACATAAAAGAGCTTAAACAATTAGTAATAAAAGTATGGAACTTCAAGGGCGCTTTTGGGGCACAAGCTGTCCCAAAACCGATCAATTTGACTGCCCTGAATAATGAGGGATAGCCAAAATTGTGATTTATAATAGCACATTTCCCTCTTTTGTTATAACGAAGCAATTGATTTAAAGTTTAACCTCGAACCAAACATTGAGGGCCTATCTAAAGTCCTTACTAACTGTCGCGTCGCCGTACAGCAAGGATTTTCACAGTATTCGTCGGGATACACTTATGCTTATGAGAATTTAGTACAGTCAAGTTATTCGACTATGAACATGTCAGAAGTTTCATACTGAGACATTTATTACTCTCCAATTCCCCTTCAAAACGCAATAGATTTGGCCTTAGATAATTATAATGGATGTTGGGAATGATTTATTCACTCGCTTCAATCAATATTAATACAGAAAAACAAACAATTAACCATTCCTAGAAAACAATATCACGGATTAATGCACGCAGTACCGCCGGAAAATAGTACATTATGACTGAAGCTCTAAGTAAACAATTAAACGTATTGTACTATCAACAGGAATACGATTTTTTCCCCAGCGAAGGTGTCCATCAATGAGGTGATGACCAGGTTGCTTATCCCATGATTTGAAACTTAAACAATGTTCTCCAAAACCGGCTTGAAAATTTTTTAGAGTTTCAAATACAATATGAATTCTTTCATGTTTGATGAGATCATGATGATGACAAAACTCTATATAATCATGTATCCCACCTTCCGACAATCCTTTCTCAACATCGTCAACTAATCGAATGCTAAAGGAATTGGGATTTTCGTCAGTACTAGGACATACTTTCAATAAAAAGCCCAACACCCCAGAATCATCACAACTCTGACATTTGTGCCCTGGCTGCGGAAACTCAAAAAGATGGTAAGTCTCCGTTGTAAAAAAGTCTTTACTGCGGTATGACAAGGTTCCAGATATTCGGCGACAGCTCTTACTGGAAGATACAAGTTCTTCACAGTTCATGAGCTCATCTAGGGAACCGCATGTGCAGGAACAGGCCAGATCATGAATAAAATCTGGATGAACATAAGAAAACCCACGACGAGCTTTCAACATGACCAGATTCTCTATGATAGAGCGATTAAAATTATGTCCACAGTACCCTTCTACTTGGAAAATTATCTCAAACAGCATGTACATGTTTTTAAGCTCTGTCATATTACCAAGTCGATCAAGTTCTGTCTTGTACATTTCATCATTCTCTATTTTAGCTAAGTTGTCCAAATTATGCTCGGAGAAAATATCCAAAACAAGATCAGATATTTCTCCAGGACCTTCTTTTGCCACATTCCTATCAGAAGAGGAATATGCTTCCTTGGACGTTTTTCTACTCAACTGAATCACCATGTTGGCATCTTTTCGTTCAAGTTTGTCCAGATTTCTAAACAGGACATCGAATACCTCTTCATAGTAAAGAATTGGGTCGACTTTGTGACATT